CTAGAAGAAAAAGAAGAGAGAGAGAGAGAGGAAGAAATATAAAAAAAGAAAGTGTGGTGTTATCATTTTAAATTAATATTTCAGGCTAGAAAAAAAGAAGGATATTTGAGGGGGGAAGGGGAGGAAAAAAAAAGCAGAAATGATGTCCTTTGGGAGATGACATCCTCATAATGGCCTATTTTTATTTTTTCTTTGATCTTTAAAGTTTTCGAAAATTTTATTTTGGTTTTTAAAAATTTCCTCTATCACTTTATCGTTTTTTTTTCGTAAGATTTTTGTTCTATGTTATTAGAAGTGTGTTTAATTAATTGAAATTATCAGTTTTACATTCTAGGAGATGACTGATAAATTTGATGATAATGATTGTAATCAGTTTTTAACAAATAACTGAAACTTCTGATTTTTCGAGCACATAGCGAGGTTAATTATTGAAATTTTCAATATATACAACGATATTTTCATTTTTTTTCTTTGATATTTTTCTGATAAATACCAAAATATATTTTTATTATTATCGTAATATGTTTTATCATCCTTGTTGTGCTTATTTTTTTGCTTAATATTAACACTGAAAAATTTCCCATTAGGAATGATAGTGATTATTAGTTTATATTGATTGATCCGTATTGATTGTTTATCAAAATGAAATATTAAAAATAATTAATAATTAATTTCATTTGTAATGACACTAATAATTAACAATCTTCACAGGATTTATTCTTACCATGTATTAGAAATACTGAATATATTATTGATTGATTTATATTGATTTGTTAAAAGTATTAATGCATTTCCTAATAATGTAACATGCATGCATGCATGCATGCATACATACATTCATATCTTTTTGCTAAGGCTCAAATAATGTTAGCATATTTATTTGTATGTTTAGATTTGATTGGTTACCAAAATAGCATTTGAAATTAGATCGATTTATTATTCCATTCCATTTTGTTGAAGTGGGATAGGGGAGATGAAATTAAATTTAAAAAAGTTTAAATGAAAAATGAAATAAAAAAGGATTGGAAAAATTAGTTTCCAAAAATAGACAGTGAATAACTCAGCTATAATTGGATTTTTCTTTTTTTTTCTTACCAATTTTAATTCAGAAAAAAAATTTTCCATTGAATAATTTCATAGTCAATTCTTTACAAATTAACTCGATAATAGCACGGAGGCGGTAAATGAACGAGAAGAAATATAAAGGATATAGGAAGAGGATAAAATCCAAATGGAAACAGTTGCTTTATTTAAATTAAAACTATCAATTCATTCCTTGTGATTTAAATAAACATACGATGAAATTATATTGAAGAAGCGGGAGAGCGGGAGTACGGGGAAAGAACCACTGGAAAGGGATGAAGAATATTTCGTTAATATTTTACAACAGAGATGAAAACATCCATTTTTTTTTTCTGGGAGGATAGACAGATTCTGATTTGACAAAGACAATTAGGGTCTAATTAATTTGTTAAATTCTTTTTCATTAATTATGCAACATTTGAAAGGAATAATTTTATGCATTTCAACCAAATTTTAAGGTCTAAAAAATTAATTAATGAATTCTTTGATAAGAATATTACTTGTTCATTGATATGGGTAGAATCATATGGGTGATATAATTAACCAGCAATTGTTACTTTATCACTTCTACATTATCAATCCTTTACTGTCCAGCTGATTTAAATTATTAAAGATTTTGCTAAACACATGAAAGCTTTTGTATCAAGTACTGAATTAATCGATCTAATTACTGATTAAATCATCTTACCGATTGATAATGTTATCAGAGTGTATTTCATAAATGATAACTAATTCAAAGTGTTAGCAATTAGAACAACTAAATATTTAAAAATTAGGACAATTAAGACAACTATATATATAGAGTAAGAAATGCATTGGTACCATAGTCAATTCTGGTACAACAATAAGTTTCAATACAGACTAATGCATTTTCATCTTATATGACAGTTTAGTTAAGTTTGATTATTAAATGGCTGACATAAAATTGGTCGAAATGAAATTTGAGAAATGAAATGAATTGGACTGAAATTCAAATCAAAAAAATTAAAATTTGAATGAATTAAAGTTTTTTATACAGCAAAAATTTAATTTTGAACTTTTTATCATGTGGAAATTACCATCAAATGACAATATACTATTATATCCAGAAAACCATATTTTATTCCTTCTTACATAAAAATTCTTTTTAATATTTAATATTTCCAAATTTTATGCAAAGATATGAACCATCTGATAAGTATTCATTATTAATTAACTGAATTTCAACATACATTCCACTTTCTTTCCGTTATTATTTCCTCAATTGAAATTTTCATTTCAATTTATATTTAATAATTTAAATAAATTATTAATTAGGAAGTTTCAGTTGATTAATACGAAAACACACATTTGTTATTTATATAACAAATACAAAATAATTATTACTTGTATTAATTATCATTTGCATTATTAATTAATTGTTATTATTTTTCACAAATATAAATTAGTTATTATTATCTGTAATTATTTGAAAAATTAATTATTATTATTTGTCGTTTCTTCATCGCCTTTTTTTTGTTTTATTTGTTTATTTTTAATTATACAAAAATTTTGATTGTTCATTTTTCGGTCATTTTGTGAACGGTAATATTTCGGATTTAAGTTTTTTAAAAAATTGAAATTTAATATCGAGATTGATCCTTTTTGATCTTCGATTGATCCTTAATTGATCCAAAGATCAATTATCTCGAACATTTCCTTCTCACCAATTTCAGCAACAAATTATTCCATTAATGTCATACTCTTCTGAACGAATTCAATTCTATTTTGACTGTAAATTTCTGATAGATTTACATTTGAGTCAATCTTCCATTGAACTTTATCCGATACTCTTCAATATCCATCTATGTGCATACAATACTACCATACGCATATATGAGTGTATGGGTGTATGCATGTTACATGTATATATGTGTGTGTGCTTGTGTATGTATGCATGTGTGCATGTATGCGTGCATGTATATATATATATGTATCTGTATGTGTGCATGTTGCTTGCATGCGTGTATGCCGTGCTTGTGTGCGTATCTGTTATTTATGCATATGTATGGATGTGTTTGTTATACATATATATTTTATATGTGAGTGTCTGTAGTGTGTATTTGTATGGGAGTTATATATTTGTATGTGTACATGTATATATGTGTGTATGTGATGTGCATGTGTATGTATGTGTGTATGTGTGTGCATGTGTATGTACGTGCATGCATGCATGTATGCATGCAAAATGTATGCATGTATGTGCATGCACATATTTTTTCTGGCAAATGTATTTGTGATATATCAAATTCACAATTTCTGTTACCAAACGTCAAATTTAATTAATAAATGAGAGGTGGAGAAGGGAGTAACTAAACCTTCAGGGCTTATTGCGCCTCATTGCCATTTTTCTTCTCACTTCTTGCAATTTCTATTTCCATTTATAATATTTTCCTAAAATAAATTTTTTTTTAATTCATCTAAAATTGTCACCAAATTTTAATCAATAGAAGTATTGTTTAATTTAAGTTTAAATTATATGAGTGATATAATTTACAATTTGATATCAAATAATTAATTTTCGGCGTTATAATTTATAAATTTAGTATAATTTAATGTTAAAACGATTAATTTAATATTGTTAGAGAATAATGAAAACGGAGAGAGATAAGACAGTTCAGGTGGAAAAGAAATAAAACTTTCAAAATAAAATTCCGAATTCGTTAAAGTGATGGAAATTTGATTTTTTGTCTTATTTGATTCGAATAGTTTAATTTTCTATTTAGTGTTGATATCCTGAATTCTCATTTTTATCATTTCGTTTTTTAAGCAATAATATCTTTGTTATCATAACTAATTAGAATTTCACCGCTACTGATAATTATTATTTCATGTAAATTTTAAAATTTCGAATTTGTATTTATATTTTAGATGTGATTTCAATATGTTCAATATATACAAAGGCTGATTAAAGCTGTCATATTTAACGATACAAACATAATTCATATATATATATATATATATATATATATATATATATATATATATATATATATATATATATATATATATATATATATATA